AGAGCTCACAATCATCGTTTAATTTTTGATATATGTGCAGAAGGTTTACGACCACCAATATTACCTGGAATGCCTGATGATTATGTACAAATGATGCAGAGGTGTTGGGATGTGGATCCATCTAAAAGACCAACTAGTGGAGAGCTTCGAAAATTTGCTATTGATAAACGTAATGAAGTTTTTAAAAATGATAATAATATTACTACTAGTAGTGGTGGTAATAGTGTTTTGCAAGAAGCACACAAATCACATCCAGATGCATATCATATAAGTAGAATATTGGATGAAGAGATTGCTAAATCTAAGAGCTTTAAAAGTTATACAAGTAATGATAGTTCGTTGAATAATCTTGATTTTAACTCTTTTCTCTAGAATGTTAACAAAGGTGAATAAAAATTTTATTATTAATAATTGGATATTACTATCTGTTAATTATTACTAACTAATTAATCAATAAACATTAAATTCTAGTAACAATAGTAAAAGAAGAGAATCAATGAATGACTAATTTAATCTCCACTATAAATTTATTCATTATCTTTTTATTTATCTTTTTATTTTATCCTTATTTTGTTTTTTTAAAGCTAAATTATAATAATTTTTTGAAATAATAATTCTTTTGAATCTTAAATTATAGTATCATTTTGGTTGATTAACAATTATGGCTTAACTTTTGGTTACTCTTGCAAATAATTTGGTACTTATCAATTAATCAGTTTACAAATTTAATTTAGTTTCCTCTCTCTTGAACCTGGACGAGTCTGTGAGCACACACTCAATGGCACCAGATAATTATAAATAAATAAAGATGCCCTTTTATAAAGCTCAAGGGCTTCTATAAAGTTCCTTTTATTCACTGTGATTGATTTATTCGCTTACATTTATTGACCCATTTGGTTTACTTGCAAAAAAAGCTTAATTCGTAATCCGTGAAACAACTGCAAAAATTTGCCAATCATTAATATGTTTTTGTGGTGATAATAAAAACATTATAATTTTCAAGAGTTTTGAGAATCTGACATCACCTCACGTGACCAACATGAGTCAAGAAAATTACATGACCACGATAATTTTTATTTTATTTTAAAAAAGAGTAACTATTAAAAACTAAATAGAAATGACATATTTATATTTTTCTTGGATAAAATTAATTCTATAACCATTTTTACATCATAAATATTTTTAGTTGCTTACTCAAACCTTTAAATTTTATATAGTAATTTTAGGCAGGAATCC